AAAAAAAAAAAAATGGGAAGAACCCAAGACTCAAGACGAAGATATTTCTTAGTCATGTAGGCAGTCAGTGTAAAAGCTACAAATGAAGCCAGGTCTTTCCACGCTGCAGGTCTGTCCCACTGCCCCATGTTGTCCCCCTTCAGAACACCTGAGCAGGTGCCAAAGGCTATACCAGCCTCCCTGCCCTGGAGTCAAGGCTTAACCCTCTGGGCACAGGAGCCAAGTGCCTCCTTCTGCTGCAGAAGCTGCTACAACGGGACCAGCCCAGTCATTTAACCAGGGTAGAGTTTCTCTTTCCTTTCAGACGCCGTTTCCCATGGAACATCATCCTGTTGACCCTTTTTGTGAGTCTGGAAGGGGAGCAGGAGGGTGTGGAAATGGTTTGAGGGAGGGCTAAGAACACCACTGTGGAAGGATGTCCCTGGTTGTCCCCCCCGCCTCATCCTGACCTCTTTGTGGCTGCCTCTCCAGCTCGGTCACATTTACTCCCAGCTCTTGCAGGCCACCACAGCCACTCCCCCAGGGTCCTGCCTTTCTTTTTAAATGTTCCATTCTTATTTCTCTCTTTCCCTTAGACTCTTGCCATGGGCTTCATGACAGGCACCATTTCCAGGTATACTCTTGGGGAGTGTGGGATTCCTGGGCTGACAAGACTCTAGAAGCAGTGATTTTGAAGTCATTTGTGGTTTATGCTCCTGACCTCTCTTAATGCCTTCTTTCTCCTCAGTATGTATCAAACCAAAGCTGTCATCCTTGCAATGATCATCACTGCTGTAGTGTCCATTTCAGTCACAATTTTCTGCTTTCAGACCAAGGTGAGGACGTAGGGGGTCCTTTCCTGGCCACCTACCCCCTTTCTTACCAGACCTGGCCCTTTGGGCTTGGCATTTGAATAGACCTGGGAGGGCCCAGACCCTAGTACACTGGGGATTTCCCTTAGAGATCTTTCCCTTCATCTGCACCTATAAAACTGCTTCCTGTGTCTGTCCTTAAAATGTCGTGGTCACTCCCATGCCTCCTAGGAGGCTGCAGTGGAGCTCCTTGGCAGGGGTTAAGGTGGCAGTTGCCTGACAGGTGCCTCCTTCTCCCTTCCTGGCAGGTGGACTTCACCTCATGTACAGGCCTCTTCTGTGTCCTGGGAATTGTGCTCATGGTGACTGGGATTGTCACTAGCATTGTGCTGTACTTCAAATACGTGAGTGTTGGTGGTGCCTGTAGCTCAGTGGGTAGGCTGCCAGCCATGTACACCAAGGCTGGTGGGTTCAACCCTAGCCTGGGCCAGCTAAAACAACGACAACTGCAACAAGAAAAATAGCTGGGTGCTGTGGTGGGTGCCTGTAGTCCCAGCTACTCGGGAGGCTGAGGCAAGATAATCACTTAAGCCCAAGAGTTGGAGGTTGCTGTGAGCTGTGACGCCATGGCACTCTACCCAGGGCGACAGCTTGAGACTCTGTCTCAAAAAAGAAAAAAAAAATATGTGAGTTTCCCAGGAGAGCTGGGGTCAGTGAATACAGTGCTCAGAGCAGATTTCTGTATTGCATAGTGTAGCAGGACCCTTCTTGGGCGCCAAGAGCCTCTGGACAGGCTCTGACCTCTAGAACGTCTTGAAAGGCCCGAAAAGGTGCCAACAGGGAAGCACCATCCTTTTGGGTTAGGGTATAACCTCTATTTGGCCCTGGGAGCCACAGCATCTGAATCCCTGGATAGCATCACCGAAATCCCTTGGGAAGGGGTAGATTAGATCTGTCTAACAGCTGAGACCAGGTTCCAGGAAGCCAACTGGGAGAGGAATCCAGAGGACTAAGAAGGTGGGCTTGGGTGGAAGGGAACTTAGGGATCTCAGGATCCAATTCCATCTTTTATTCCAGTCAGCTGGGAGATGGTATGAGGCCCTGAGGCTGAGGGAGAACAGTGTTGAAGGGGCAGGATGTGAACGCAAGAGCTGCCTGCCCACTTCATGCCAGCCCTGCCCTCTGCAGACGGGGACCTGTGGGAGTGCTAATGCAAGCTGCCCCAGGGGTATCCCCAGATTCTAATACTCCCCGGAGTGGTGGTGGGGGGGCCTCCTTCACAGTCTGTCTTCCTTAGTCTGTCCCTCCCAGGCTGGGCTCCAGGAACCACTCCATTGAATGCTGTGACTGCGTCTGCTCCCTCAACTAGTACCCAACTGTCTTATTTTCTCCAGAAGTATAGAGCACACCTCGATACTGTGACTAAATTTTGGAGATTGGTTTGACTAAAAGATGCTGTGACTGTTTTTACTTTTTTTTACATTTACCTTTTACAATTGTTTGTGGAAATTTATAGGGTATTGTGATTGGTTTAATATGGCCACTGAAGGATGGCCTCTGCTTTCACTGCCAATATATTACCATTTTTAATTTCTTCCAGGATTTAGGAAGGTAGTATCCTTTCTAGTTGCCTAGTCAGAAAGCTAGCTTCCTAGCTCTCCCACTTTCTTCCTAGAATTCCAGGGGGAAGCTGAGGCTGAGGGCCTGCCTTGGTCTGTGCTTTACTAAGTTTTCTAATGCCATCCCTTGTCCCCCTCTTCCCAGGTTTACTGGCTCCACATGGTCTATGCTGCACTGGGGGCCATTTGTTTCACCCTGGTAAGTCAGTCCATGCCCTCCTCTAGGAAGGGACGTGGAAGAGATGGAGCACGAGTTTAGGCTGCTTGGGAAGGAGGCAGGGAGTGGGGCTGTAGCTGGTCTTTCGTCTCCCTACTGATAAGAGGTGCCACTGATTTTCGGGGCATTCCTGCCATCTCTTGCTTACATTACCTGCTATTGGAACACTCACTAGTTTATAGTATAGATGGCAGTGTGTCTCTTCACTTTTCCAGATTGTGATATGTGCAGGAAGGTAGAATCCATGTGTTATGCTGTTCATGAATGTGTCTCCTAAGCACACTGCATGGCATATAGGCTCCTAGGGCAAATCTGCTGACCTCAAATGAGCTGTGGACACTAAGCTCTGGGTTTTCACTCTGGCTTCCCTATCCTTGCAGTTCCTGGCTTATGACACACAGCTGGTCCTGGGGAATCGGAAGCACACCATCAGCCCAGAGGACTACATCACTGGCGCCTTGCAGATTTACACAGACATCGTCTACATCTTCACCTTTGTGCTGCAGCTGATGGGGGATCGCAATTAAGGAGCAGCCTCCTATTTCACCCTACCTTAGGCTCTCCCTTCCCTAGAGGGACATGCCCTGAGACTGCTCAGGGCCTCAGACTCCTTCCTTCCACTCAAGTAATAATACCCAGTTTCCTTTCTGTCCTGGAGATGGTGGTCTCTCTGGCTGTGGATGGCTAGGTACCTGGTGGGGATGGAGGAGCTGGGGACTAACTATTACCCTTAGTGAGCTTGACAGGGACTAGGTTGAAGATGTGTCTTCTCTCTTTTTCCCAGTATATGGCACCAGATTATTATTATAGCTGGGGCTGGGGGGAAAGCAAAAGGAGCCACTATAGTATAGAAAGGTAGAAGTGAATTCAAGGTGATAGGGTTCCCTCCCACCTTTGCCAAAGGCTTCTAGGCTAAGTAGCTGGAGCTGTTTCTTTATCCAACCCTCAACAAAGCCAGAGAGCTTTGTCTCCAGCTTCATGGACACAGAGGCCATTATTCTATACTCCTTTGGCTTGGCACCTTTTAGCTCAGGAGGGTGGAAGAGATCTGTGCCCATGAGTCTTCTTGCTTTAACCCCTTCTTGTTTCAGTGACATGCACATACTGTCTATCTGGGTGTCACAGGGATGGGGAAAGAAGAAAGGAGTGAAGCCCAGGGGCTGGTCCAGAGCAGCATCTATCCTGGGCTGTCTTGTGATGGTGGTAGAGTGAACAGGCTGGCTGCAGGCATCTGGTCCCCATTCTCCAAAGCTGCTTGAGGCCTCCCTGGGTGTTCTGAAATCTCTGGTCAGAGTGATCTCTTGCTTTCTGTGCTCAGTCCATTTACAGGGAGTGAGGGGTAAAGCTCAGGAAATGGGGTGGTTTAAGAATTATGAGGTCAGGACTTAATCAGGGTGAAAAGAGACTAGGTGGAAGGCAAAGAAAATGCTTTGGGGACCCCACTTGGTCTGAGACATACTGAAGCCTACTGTGATGTCCAAGAAGATGTCTGCATTCTTTCCTTCTGCACTGGGAGTAAGGTTGATTTCTTCTCTTAAGTTTGCTCTTAATTTGCACTGGAAGGTTTTTGGCTAGGACGCCATCTCTCTAGCTGGCTACTGATTTCTCTGTAATATCGAGTGCCTCAAGCTGGAATGGGGAAGGGAGGACAAGGGCCAGTCTGTCAGGTGGGGTGGAAACGGAATCAGCCCAAGGGTATAGTTAGGATTTCTTTATTAAGTCCTTGATCTTAAATGTATTACATAAAGGGACACAACTAGAAATGTAATGAAGTTTTGTGTCTAGAAGTTAAAACTGTACGGCTCTGGTGTTCTTCACTTGAAAGTGTTCACTCTGGGAGTATCTGTCTGGCTCTGCCCAAAGGATCCACTTCCTACCTCTGTATTCTGGCTTGGTCTCTCCCATCTTTTCCAAGTAACCAAATATTCTGTAGTGCTTCCTGGAGATAGAGGCAGTAGGCTGGTAAAGGGGGAGTTCAACTCTGCAACACTGGATCTGGAAAGGACCTCTCAATCATAGTGCTGATCTCGTCTATGTCATGGGTCTTTCCCCAAAGCTCACTAGAGCTATTAACTCTCTTCCCCACAAAGCTCTATGGACATAGATGATTTTGCAGATGGGGGAGGGGATGGACTGCAGGTTGGGTTCAGAACTCCATCTTAGAAATCACTAGTCCAATTTCTTACAAGAGAGGAAACTGAGGCCCAGAGATGTTGAGTCATTTGGACTCAGCCAAGAGTAGTGCTTTTTTGCCTCCACACCCTGAATGCCTTCTTTGATTCTTTTTATTATTTGTTTCAAGGCTGAGTGGGGCCCCACCCTCTCTGGCGGTGGCTCTCAGGGCTTGGTCCCCAGGGCCCCAGCCTAGGCTTGTTGCACTTAAGTCTCTGTGGTTGCCCCACCATCCAGCCAGGAACACTGAGCTCTTCTGTGAGATGGAGCACACATGAGTAACCAACCCCACCCACTGCCCCTCCCGTCCCATGGGACTCACAAACCCAGACCTGGTTCCTTTCCACCCAAACACTCAATAACTTTATTTGCCTTTGGCTGGCTCCTTGGTGTGGGAGGGGTGCGGGCTGGCAGCAGCCTGGGCTTTGGGCGCCCTCTGGTGGACCTCAGAGGCAAGGACCAGAATTCCCGGCCAAACCGGAGACTTCATGTCAATACAGTCTAGTGGAGTGTTGCAGCGCTCCTCAGGTCTGCACCCGTGACCCAATTTCAGGGGACGGGGCGTGTTGGGAGGAGGCCCTGAACCTTTGGCTCTTATACTCGCCCGTGTTGGACGCCCGCATGTTCTGCCGAGCCTTCATCTGCTTCAAACGGTCCTTGTCCACTTCCCGCTTGGTGAGGATGAAGAGGAGGATACCACAGGGGAAGCCGATGGCCCTAGGGGTGGGGAGATGTGCATGGGGTTTGGGGAGGGGCCAATCCTGAGCCAGAGGAGCTAAGAGGAAATCATTCCAGCTTCATCAACTGCATGAATGCTGCAAATACCTCTTGTGTCTAATTCATCCTCTGTGTTGGCTGCTTGAGGGACCCACACAAACCAGATCCTGCTCCCCTGCTTCAAGCTCTGTAACAGCTCTCCATCACTTTTTGGCCAAGTCCAAACTCCTAGGCATGGCACAAAAGGCCCAGTGTGGTTGGGTTTCTGCCTACCTCTTCACTCCTTTTCCCTAAAGCCTGACATTCCTCAGCAGGAAACTCGCACTCCTGCCAAAGCACCTGTGTGTGATTCCTTGCATCTTGGCCAAGTCCCTTTCTGCTCAAATTGCCCCACATCCCCTTCCAGACTCCCCTTCTTAGTATGAGTAACTGCTACTTGGAAGGCACCCTGGTGTGGGGGGAAGAGCACGCAGTCAGTCACCAGACCTGGTGAAAATCTAGCTGAGCCTCAGTTCTCTCCCCTGTAAAAGGGGGATGTAGTATTTATGACAGATCGCAGAAACCTAAAATATTACATGATAAAGTACTGGCACACCCCAGGTGCTGAAAAAAATGTCAACTTCCTCCTCCTTAACCTTTTAATTTTGATCAATATGTTTTAAGGTCAGAGTCAATAAAATAACAATGTAACACCTAGGCACTACTACACAACTAATATAATCTTACATGACCTCAATTAACTAATTACTGAAACGTGGGTCTCATCCTAAGCTCCCAAAAGGGAGGATGAGGCTAGGGACCCAAATTTCAATCAGATCAGCTCAGGTTACTCCACAGAAAACCCACTGTCTCCCCAGTTTCACATATTTTCCCACCTCGCCTGTTCTGCTCCTCTTGAGTTTCAGATCCTTGAACCTAACAAAGCTGTTCCCACAACTTTGGATTCAACTCACCACCTGAAACTCGGAGGAGTTTCTGAGTTTCCCTTGGATGCCATTCCCCATTAGTGAGCAAACTTAAACTCACTTAAAACTCACCAGGCTAGTCCCACTGCTTTCATGGGATTCTTGCCCCTCTTTCTAGGAATGTATTCCAGCTCAGGGGACAGGGGCTCAGGTTCCTCCTTGCACTCTGGGGAGCTGTGGCTTTGCAGTGCCCGAGTCCGGTTCTGGGAAGCCTTGTTAGCCGCGGCTCCTGAAAGAATCCCTGTGGATGGAGGTCAGGAAGGTCAGTAAGAGGATGAGGAGAAAGAAAAGGGGGACGATGCCTCGGCGTCTATGGCTCAATCGGCTAAGGCGCCAGCCACATACACCTAAGGTGGCGGGATCGAATCCAGCCCCGCC